AAACAGGTTTGCCTTTTCACAGTGGTGGGTTTCTTCAATTCCTACATTTCTTTCAAACAGAACTCTTTTTTTAAAGTGTTTTTTAAAAATTTATATTTTTCTTTAGAGAGGAAGGGAGAAGGAGAGAAAGATTGCCACATCAATGATGAGAGAGAACCATCGATCAGCTGCCTCCTGCATACCGCCTACTGGGGATGGAGCCCAAAACCTGGGCATGTGCCCTTGACTGGATCAAACCTGAGGACCTTCAGTCTGCAGGCTGATGCTCTACCCATTGAGCCAAACTCCATAGGGCAAAACTCCCTTTTAAAAAAATATATATTTTTATTGATTTCAGAGAGGTAGGGAGAGGGAGAGATAGAAACATCAATGATGAGAGAGAATCATCAATTGGCTGCCTCCTGCACCACCGCCTACTGGGGACGGAGCCCAAAACCTGGGCATGTGCCCTTGACTGGAATCGAACCCGGGACCCCTCAATCCACAGGCCAATGGTCTATCCCAGGGGTCCTCAAACTACGGCCCGCAGGCCACATGCAAATACAAATATTGTATTTGTTCCCGTTTTGTTTTTTTACTTCAAAATAAGATATGTGCAGTGTGCATAGGAATTTGTTCAGTTTTTTTTTAAACTATAGTCCGGCCCTCCAACGGTCTGAGGGACAGTGAACTGACCCCCTGTTTAAAAAGTTTGAGGACCCCTGCTCTATCCACTGAGCCAAACCAGCTAGGGCTGCCAAGTCCCTTTTATCATATAAGCTCTCATATGCACAGGTTTTGGGGGATTAGGGCAGAGACCTCCATGGGGGACCCTCGTCCAGCCTACCACAGGCACCCAGGATGCCCGCCTTTGCCCCCGTGGGACTGTCCCTTTTCTGATCTGCTCTCCCTCCAGTGAGAATGGACCCAGGGTTTAGCCCTGAAACATTCCCCCATAACTTCCCTCCTTCCTGCTATAAAGGAAAAAGCCCTGAGGGTCCTGGCCCCTGAATGCTCACTGGGAGTCCCTTCCAGGCGCCCAGGCTCCTCTGTGTGTTCAGGGCCATTCACAGGATCGCTGGTGGGGTCCTCTGGCATCCCCAGGGTCCTGCTCTAAGGATGTCTGTGCCCACCAGATCCCCTGGGGTCCTGTTATCACATCCCAAGGGGCCAATCAAAAGCAATAGAAAGCCCAGGGCAGGACCGGTTCCTAGTCTGCCGGGCCCCGTGCCAATCGAGAACGTGGGGCCCCTTGTTCCGACTTCAAGACCGTTCAAGCAGAGCATTCAACCAACGGAACAGCTGCTCAGCCGCCGTGGCCCCCGGGGTCTGTGTAACATACGCGGCCCAGGCAGCTCTGAGCTGTGCGCCCTGAATGGCCACCTTGACAGCCACCCCTCCCCACTGCAGCTACACTACAGTGCCCCCTACCGAGCCCAAGAGGCAATCACACCCGAGTTCAATATCAAATCCTGCCTCTTTCAGGGTGGCTTCTGTGAGAATTGATTTTTCTTCTTTTTTTAAAAATACATGTTTATTTATTTCAGAGAGGAAGGGAGAGGAAGAGAAACATCAGTGATGAGAGGGAATCATTGATTGGCTGCCTCCTGCAGGTTGGACTGAGCCTGCAACCCAGGCATGTGCCCTTGACCAGAATCGAACCTGGGACTCTTCAGTCCAGAGGCTGATGCTCTATCCACTGAGCCAAACCGGCCAGGGCAGGCCTTGATTTCTTTGCCGTAAAACGGGGATAATTGTGCCTCGCTCGGGAAAGAGGCTTCAGCAAGGCAAATGTTTGGCACAGGGCACACTGCTCCCCTCAATGCCCTCCCACACCCCAGCACCGTATGTATTTGTAGAATGAACGAAGGCAATCATGAGTGGCCTGGCTGGTTTGATATGCCCCTAAAATTCTTCTAGAATGGCGTCGGTTTCCTGCTAGAACATTCCAGCAGAAACTACCCCCCTTCCCCTGAAGCAATCTGTAGGTCTGTTATAACAAGTGACAAAGCTGGACCCCCTATGTTAGTCCCCAGTTTCCCCACGGCGGGCTCAGGGCAGCACTGAAATACACACACACACACACACACAGAAGCCACTCCATTCGATTGCCTCAGCCCTGGGGACCAGTTCAATGACTGCAGGTGCCTGCTACACAAATAAAGCCGATGGACCATAAGGTAACCAGGTAACCGGGCCCTGCAACCAGCAGGTCCTATTACAGGACCTGAGGTCCCAACACAATCCACATCGCTAGGTCCCGCTCCCATAAGACACCTCGGGCTGCAACAGCGTGGCCAGGGTGGCCGGGCAGGTTCTCCCTTGGCGGCGACAATAGCTGCAGGGCCGCCTACATCGGGACACACCCGATCTGCCCTGTTTTCAGGTCATGGGTCTGATACCTGTTGTCCTTGTAAACCCAGGGCCCTGCTATGAAACTGCCTGGAGCTAATTTCCCTGTGACTGGGGCCTCCTATTAGAGGTATGCAACAGAACATTCCAGAAGCATGCGAAAATAAACTCAAGATCCCGTGACAGGCCCAGGATTCCACACCACGTCATACCTCTGGGCCCACCTGCCAGACTCTTGTCCTGGAACCTGCCCCAAGGAACAAAGGGCCCAGGGCCGGCTATACCGAGTCCCCCCGCCCCCCCTTCTCCAACAGACTCTGGGCTTGGGCCGTTACTTCCCTAATATCACTTACCGAGCTGGTTCCACCCTATTAACACACGTGACCACAGTTCGTCCTCCCAGTGGGGGCAGGGTAGGTGAACCCATTTTACAGATAAGGCAACTGAGGCCCTGTGGTTGGGGGGGGGGGTCGCCTGCGCAAGGTCCCGCAGCCGATGAGCAGCAGGGCTAGACTTCAGAGCAGGGTCTGTGGTCTTAATGTTTGTTTGGAGGTTTCTGCCCCAGTTCACTGCTTCCTGTTATTCTCTGTGTCTTGTTCAAACCCACCCTGAGAAGGTGGGGATTTAAGTTCAAAATCCATTCATTCACGCACCTAAACGTGTATGGAGCAGTCACAACTTACTCCACGCCCTGGGGATGCAGTCATTCCTGCCCTCTCGGAGCTTGGATTCCGGTGCTCAACAGATACACAGGCAACACAGTACAGAACTGGTACAACAAACCCACGGATAGATGAGAAATAGGACTCACCTGTCCACGCAGACAGAGCAGGGAAGGGTGATAGGAGGGTCGGAGGTTTGGCCAAGTGGAAAGAGGTTAGTGAGCCTTAGAGACTTCAGAGTCGGGGCGGAGTGGGGGCAGGAGGCAGGGGAACCTGGGGCAGTGCTCCAGGTGCAGGACGCAGCCAGGGCACAGGCTCAGAGGAGGGGCCGGGCTGGTGGGCACAGGCAGGCAGAGGGAGGGAGGGGAGGGCGGTGGGCAGAGGGCAGGAGCACCCAAGTTGTGATCCAAGGTAGGAATTGCATCTCCAGCTGCCCCAGGGCGGTCCCACTCCTCACGCAAGAGAACTGTCGCGCCCAGAGTTCTCTTCTGGGTCTTTGTGACCCTCAGGCCCACCAGAGGCGTCCCCCAGTGCACACCAGGCGCCCGCCCCACCCGTGACTAGGCAGCCTGACATGGTGGGGTGCCAGGAGACGCCCCAACGACCGCTGGGAGGAAACAGGGGAGCCGGGCTGTTGTTGTTGTAAACATGGAGGCCCCACCCTGAACGGAAGCACCTGCAGGGGGAGGGGGCTCCCCAGCAGCCTCAGCCCCTCAGGGTCCCCAGCCCTCCAGCAGGGGCGGGGCGGGCTTGCAGGCTGAAATGCGGGCGGTTCCCCTTGTGACCTGTCCCTGCCCCTTCCTGCCCTCTTTGATGTGGCCCCACTTCCTCTGGCAGGAATCCACGCCCTCGCCGGGTAAAAGCCAGAGCCGGCTGATCCCGGGCGGCTTCCCTGGACGAGCGGGCTCCTCTCCTCAAGGCCCCGTCTCCCAACCCTGTACCATGGTGTGCCAGTCCCTGGTACAGGCATGGGGGGCAGGGACCTGGGGACCCCAGCAGCGCGGCCCCGAGGGGCGAAGCCAGTCTCCAGCCGTGCCTTCTACTCCAGGCCTCCACGTCTGCTTGGGTGAGGGTCCCCGCCCCCCACCCCACCTTGTCCTTTCTCCTCTGAACTCGGCGCCCCCCAAACCCCCGCTGTCTGGCCTGTTGTGTCCAGCTGAACCCTCTGTGGTGTCTCCTTGTTTCTGTGACACTCAAGGTCCCTTTTCCCGCTTTGTTGTTTTGTTTTTGCTTCTAACAGATCTCGTTCTGCTGTTACCAACAGCCAACCCCTCCCACCTCCCGTTCTCTGGCCATCGGGAGAGTTTGCATGACTGCCCGTCTCTCCCCAGCTCCCGGTTCTCCTCCCCCAGCCCCACCTCCAGGGGCTCTCTAACCAGCCTGTGGCCCTGCCCAGCCTTGCTATGCAACTTGCCCTCAAGACCAACATCCTTAATTGGATTTTCAGGCAAAGAAGTTTCCAGAATCTGAGATCTGGGGCTCAGGCACTGGGACGCCAAGCAAAGAACCTGCCCCGCAGAGGAGCTTGCTCATCTGCAAAGGGGCATGGTGCCCACTTGGGGAAGGGGACTCCCAGCCTCGCTCCCCCACTCAGGAGCCAGAAGAGAAAGGCCAGGTTGAGGTCAAGGCCCAGATTGCGGCTGCTTCTTCACCCCTCTCCCCAAGGGGGACAGAAAGGGCCCAGGAGCCCCCACCCTCCCTCACTTCCTCCCCAGGGACAGGAGGGGGGGGGAGAGAAGCGGGGAGGGGTAGGGGAAAGACAGGGGTGCAGGGTGAGACAGCAGCTCAACGACAGGTAGAAGGTGACAAGGACCAAAGGAGACGGAGAAGTGCAGCATCTTTAACACAGGCCGCCTTCGCCCAGAGACAGGACAGGAGGCGGGATCTGGTCCCCATTCCCACCCTCACGCCCCAGTGGGTAAAAAAGAACCCATCCTTCTCGTCAACCTGCTCCACGCCCAGGGACATACCTCCCTCTGGAGAGGCCACAGACACCGGGAGCCTGGCTGTGACTGAGAAAATAACTTTATTTGGTTGGGGTGGGGGCAGGCGGCCAGCTCAGAACTTCTGGAACTGCTTCTTGGTGCCGGCGGCCTTGGTGACCTTGAGCACGTTGAAGCGCACCGTCTTGCTCAGGGGGCGGCACTCACCCACAGTGACGATGTCGCCGATCTGCACATCTCTATGGAGGGGGCAGCGTGTATGTTACAGGAGGGA